TTAAAAATAATATGTTTTAGATAAAAAGATTTTAAAAATTTTTATAGCTGAATAAGCGAATATTATAGTAAGTAAAATGAATTTCTTTTCTTGGTATTTCTTAGAATCTGTAAAGGAATATTTGGAATCTACAGAAGGAACGCAGAATCAAGCAAAGTATGTCATCTTAAAGTTAACTAATTGTAMACGGTTTTGAGCTGTATGTTCCTTATTGTTTGACCGTGTATACTGGAACCTGTACGCGAGTAAATGGAAYTATCTGATTGGTTTAAAGTGCTCCTAATGTGTGATTTTTCCTTAATCAAAATAGGCATATAAAATCGAGAATTGAAAAAATGGAAATTTGACGTAATCCTTAATTTTTAAAYCATTTTGAAAGCTCACCGTCTCTTATCAGGACCGCGCGTCAAGAAAGACGTGCGAATACGTCATCGAGATGAGAGACAAAACACAGTATCAGGAGCGATTTTTCCGCGATTTTTCTGTGATCTAAATTCTCTTCCGTAGACTCCTGACGTACAAAACGGAAGTGCACCAATAAACGCTACGACGCACTCTAATCAGCCAATCAGCCCGCAGATTTTTACCAAGTATAATAAATTTGTATATAATAAAACTAAAAAGATATGTTCTTCCATTAAATGTTTCAGAGTAAAGATCAATTTTGAGAAGAAAAATCAAAAGACAAATACTACAATAGCGCAGCTTCAAAGAAAGCTACAGAAATACCATAAGGCTCTTGTGGTAAGATCCACACCTCGTTGACATGTCTTAGCCTCCTACGCAGGAATCACTAAGAATCACGGGCTTCCTGTCTTTTTGAGGACTTCCTATCTCGTCACTAGTCCCTAACGGCCATTATGACCGTTACAAAGGAATCCCAAAGGAGGAAAAAAGAGTTGGCTGTGGAGGAGGCTAGACATGACTGATCATTTCCTCATCTCGAAATTCCTTAGATCAGGGTTCGTGCTACTGATGCTTGAATTCCTTGAAAAGTCCTGGAAAGGAAAACTGGTTTTCAAGGGCGCTTGAAAGGCCCTACACTGGTCCCAGACGTTTTCTTTTCTTTTATAGACGTTTTTTTAGTATTTATCGTACTTTTGTCTTTGCTTTTGAGCATCGTTAAAATAAAAAGCTAAGACAAAACATGAAATAAAAAACAACTATTAAAGAAGAGAACCTCTGGAACCAGGGTAGAAAAGCCCTTGAAAACGGGAAAAATCGCTAAATCTTTGAATCTGATGAAATTGACATGTTRCTTGTTAGGCTTTTGGATTGAAATGTGGCTATTTTTGAAACTGAATTGCCTCTTGAAACGTCCGCAAACATCAAAAAATACCTTCAAAAATAGTCCTTGAAAATCGCATTTTTGTGCTTAAAAAGTTATCGAAATGTCCTGAAATTTTGTAGTGAAAATGTAGCACGCGTCTCCTGATAGATTTGTCTGGTTTTATTTAGGATTTAGAGGAGAATGGAACGGTGTCATCTAAGGTCATGGCCAAGGAAGTTCTTAAGTATGTACAGCCAATAATAATAAGTTATGGTACAGCTTAAAGAATTATCCTAATATGGATAGCTACGAGGCTTCGGCTTTTTTTACGGAAACTTTCGTGGCCGCATTCTCGAATGAAGAAGCTTTTTAAGGTTGCGCTTATACAGCTATTTCAAAGAACGCTGTCGGGGAAGAGGCGAATGGCGATAGTCGAAGAAAGATTGAACGATCGAACGATCGAAAAGGACTATGGTTACACTGTTTTGATAACCAGAATTTCACTTATTGGATTCACCTTACATAGAAATGGTGACTAAATGGAGCCAATGTTTACCACAGACCATCTTACAGTACAAATCAGTTTTAATTGCCTTTCTACCAAGCAAAACCCATGGCTACTTTCGGTTGTGCAATCGCCGTTCGACTATTGACATTCTCCATTTTATCCTAAAATAGCTATATGTACTAAATACTACATTC